TAACTTTTAACATGCATCTTGCATTGTTAAAGCCAGGTTTATTTATAGTTTTTTATATTTAATTTTTCATAATATAAGAGATTATCAAAATCTTATAAATTTTAAAATTAAATTAAAGTGAATGATTCTAAAATTAAAATAAAAAATGCAAACTTATTAGGGTAACATTTATTTTAAATTTTAATAATTATTATGTCATCCAAAAATTTAAGTCTAATTATTTAAATTTTTAACTAATCAAAATTTTTGATTTAAAGATTTAAAATTTATAATTTTATAAATTTAAAATTTTAATCATTAATTTAAATTCATAAATTTTTATATATTTTATCTTTTAATAATGTATACCACATATTAACAGAGAAACAAAAAAACTCCTACAACTGTTCATAAACTTACTTAAAGGTCATATTTCAATCAACCTAAATGCTAATCAAACCCCAAGTAATTTATAAAATTCCCACTACCTTTAGCTTTCTAGAAAAATAAATGAACAAAGAAGAGAGACAAAGAAAACAAAATGTTGATTTTACTCCCCTATCCTAGTCTATTTAGATTGTAATTGACATAATTCGTAAGGGCTTAATGGGTGATTTTATTGTCATATTTTAAATAGTTAATAGTATATTATTTTAATATGATTACTTATTATATTCTTACATTATATATATTTTAAATTTTTTATTTTTATTTTCTTAATAAATTAAAAGATATAATAGTTAATCAAAATAAAAAATAATATTAACAATTGAGAGTGTAATAATAATATCATCTATCCAAATGAGAGTGGCAAAAAGAATTGAAAATAGAAAAATTATATTCCTAATTAACTAATTACCTAATTTGTTTTGTTCAGTTTGTTAAATATTGAAACCATTAACCAAATTAATTATGTTGATTTTGTATTTATTTAGATGCAAAGAAATTCAATTTAATTACAATTTGACTAATTTTTAATCAAATTGGACTAGCTTGATTCGATTCAATCATCATATTAATTTGGTTTTCAACACTCAATTTGGTATTAACCTTATCTCACCACCCTCCCCGGCAAAGTTTCTTTCTTGGATGCTCAAAGGTTAAAAGTTACTTGTTTTAAA